CTCTACTTGACTCGCCGCTGAACAAAGCTGGGTTGCTCCAGGTCTACATTCACACTGCGAAAGGCGTCCTGATCGAAGTGAACCCCCACGTTCGGATTCCCCGAACTTTCAAGCGTTTTAGCGGTCTGATGGTGCAGCTTCTGCACAAACTGTCCATCCGAGGGGTCAACGGTCCGGAAAAGCTGCTCAAGGTCGTCAAAAACCCGATCATCGATCATCTTCCTCCGAACACCATCAAATTGAGTGCGTTCAATATCTTATTCCCCCTTTCGTACATCTGACACGTCAATAGCGCTCTCAGGAGATGCCAAGACGCAGCGACTATCTTCCTATCTGAAGACGTTACCCCCCGCACACAACATCGCTGTGTTTGTCGGCGCTATGGCCCGTGGGCGGGATGATTTCGCAGACGCTTACGTGGATGAGAAGATTAGCATCAGCGAGTACGCACTGAGTGCCAGTGTTGCGTGTGGCAAGGTGTGTAGCGTCATATATCGTTTGCCCTTGCTCTGAGCATCGTCTAGTTTTGCTGTGCCCTCGAGGATCTCTGGGACATCATATAGATACGTTTTCACAACATTCGGTTTCTGGTTGTGCTCCATTTCGCCCCTACTTTTTGCATTGTATCTTATCTCTGCATCGCGTCAACCGCGCATTTGTTGTACACTAGCCAAATCTACATCCCTCGCCACACATACTCACCTATACGACACCTCATGAGGCGACTCAACTCGCATTTTGACTGCTACACACATTCCTTATCTACTACGTGCTAGGATGTCACTACTAGGTCCTGAATATTAAAAGATAATTACCATACGCACTGCAGTGCATGTGGTCTGAATGAGTGCGACAATGCCTCCCACGCCGCTAGTATGACGATGATATTTTCAAACAATTGTGACCCAGTGCAGGAGCGACTGCTTGGATTTTTGGTCCGATCTATATGTATGATTTCTACAGGGTCATGCGAGACATATCGGTGCGGAGACGATTATAGTCCAACAGACCCTCAATGTTGCCAACGGCAGCAAGAGCGAACTGGATTTGATGAGAAACGCATTGCAGTGAGGAGATGAAAGGCGACGCACATCCTTGTCCCAGAGATATTTCTTAGCAACACGCATGACGTCGTCCACGGAGACAGCGTCAACAGCCTGCTCAGTCTGTTGAGGTGACATACGACGACCGCTGGTGACGAGCTGTCGTCCTATGTCCTCCGCAATAGCAGTCGATCCATCTAGCCCAAGTAGTAGACCAGCTTTGAGCTGGCTTTTGGCACGCTCGACCTCAACAGAAGTTGGCGAGATACTCATACGGGCCCATTCGCGCAGCGTCACATGCGTGAGATCGTCCAAGTTCATGAAGTTCTCGCTCACGAGGTAGATGCCCCACAAGCCGGTGTCAGCATAGCTCGTGCTAAAGCTCATGAAGGAGTTGGCGAGATTGTTTGAGGAGATGGCATGAGAAAGGCGAGAGGAAAGGTGCGAGGCAGAGCCAAGAGAGCGATCCCAATTACCAAAGATGCTCTGTAGAACCATCATCGGAAAGTAGTCGGGTGATGACCAGCCGACACCCTCGACAGCGATGGCGATGTGAGCAGCTCCCAGCTCGTCGTCGCGCAAGCGAACCTCGGATCCAACGAAGTTATTCTTGGCATGGGCGGATCCACCGAGGCGGATGGGATTAAGGGAGACGGGGAGGGAAGAAAAGTGCTGCTCGGCCAATTTGACGAGCTCAGCATGGTCGACGCCACCTGCACCAACGAGAACCATGCGATCAGCAGTGTAGTTCGTCTTGATGTATGAACTCAAGTCGTCTTGTTTGAGCGAAAGGATGTTTGCTGGACATGGGTGAGACAGTGAGCCAGTGGCTTTTGATCGAGAAAGCACCTTTCGGTCCCAGTATGGTACGCCCCAGGGGTTGGTCTATGCAGCGTGAGCCGCCGAAAAGAATGTGGGACGAGATGGCCACGTACGTTGGAAAGCGACAGAGTGAAGATGGTCGAAGACGACCTCCTCCAGCTGCTTGTCTACCTCCTGCTGCTCCCTTAAAATGACGTCTCGTTCACGCTCGATAGCAGAGGCCTCCAATTTCGAGTTCTGGAGAATGTCGCTGATGATGTCGACAGCAGCAGGAACGTCCTTGCGGAAGCTTTTGGCGTAGTAGACAGTTTGCTCTCGCGACGTGTAAGCATTCAAGTGGGCTCCGATGTTCTCGACCTCGAGCTCAAGCGCATGCTGTGTCCGCTTCCCAGTACCCTTGAAGGCCATGTGCTCCAAAAAGTGTGCAGCGCCGTTATTTGCGTCCGTCTCAGCCCGAGAGCCTGCATCAATCCAGACACCAACGGTGGCAGTCTGAGAATGAGGGTGTGACTCGGTGGCGACGGTGAGTCCGTTAGAGAGACGGGAAATCTCCGTGAACGGACCAGCGTTATGCACGGTGGCGAAATTCCTCAGAGACCGCTGGTGACCGAAAAAAGTGGTGAGGGTTAACGAAGAGCTGGAAGCGGAGTATTATATGGACGTACGTGTGGACGAGCATTCCGGAGGACACGGTGAAAGACGGTTCGCGAGACCATCGCGAGGAGCGGGCAAGGAAAGAGTTTCGGGGGAAGGCGGAAACGGCCGGGAATAAGTTGGGATGATTGGTCAGCATCTCATGATGTGAGTTTACATCACGTGATTGTCACAAGCGTACCGTAATAAGTATCTCTTTCTCGTTCAACAATTTGTGTGGTCTGTCCTTACGGATCAGTCTCTTTCGTTCTTATAGCGCACTCGATCGAAATAGTTCACGTCACTGTCGAGTTTGGGGAACTCAACACGATCTTGCATTACTCACGACGCGCCGTGCCATGTCGTCCGTTGACGCCGTTCCTACTGCTCTTTGAAATACTCAAGAATTCTGCCAGTGGACGTGCTCCTTTTACAGAGAAAGAAGACTCCCTGCTTATGAAATACATTGCGACCTACAGCCCAAGTCTCGCTGGGCGCTGTGGAAACAAACTGTTCCAAACGCTGGTAGAAAACGTACGAATGCAATATCAAGCACTGTTCAGCCCGCAGCTCATCATCGACCTCGGTAGAAAGACCATAAATGGGGATGGAGCAAGTGTCATCCTTGGCAAGGATGGCGACACCGCTACATTAGCAAACAGAAATCATTCGACACGCGAATCCGAAAGTACCAGGACAAGAAAGGACTACCAACCGAGAGCCCAACGTACGGAGCGACCCGATTGAGTTATTTGAAGATGCCCTCTGCTAAAGGGAGTCCCTCCCGCAAGAAGAGGAGACATTCCGATGAAGAGACGGACAATAACGAAATCGATAATGGACAAAGGCCATCCTCTTCGGTGTGAGCTGATTTCGAACACATTTCAAAAAATTTGGCTCAGTTACCGATGTGCAGGGCGCCTGCTCGTAAGCGAACGCGCATTGTTCCCGACATTAGCACCTTAGAGGAGCCTGTTGACTCTCTGGACGATTCTCAAGAAGATGCTCTAGCTACAACCAGACAACCAGGGAAGCAAGCCAAGGATGCATGTAACAACGATGATTCCCTTGACGGAGAAGATCCTTTCAGGTCTCTCCCACCGCGAACAGAACACCAGGGCTCATCTCTGCCGCCTCCAGCACGAACAATACCTAAACCTCGTCCGCCACCGAAAGTGATGAGCAACGGTTTCAGCGCGACGTTTGAGGGCGTTGAGAGGTTCATTGCTGACGGATCCAGAAACCAACTTGCAGAGATATCATGGCCACCAATCCGGCATCGAACCAAAACTTTTAGCGCAGTGGACCAGACTACAAAGTTTGACTTCGACGATACGCCTACCGTCCCGAGGATACGGTCCTCCCGTCCTCAAGCAAAGGCAATCCCATCCTCGTCTCGGTTGCAGCTGATGTCCAGTACCCTTGACTGGGGGTCCCCGGCGCGTTCCGCACCGGGATTCGGTGACCGTCGCTCACTTGCCCCAAGCCCCAACACACAGGATGAACAGTTACCCTCTCCACCCGAATCAATGCTGACATCCGATGCGAAAATTAAAGCTCGTTCGGAGCATCATGGCCTGCGATTGGTGTCGCGCGATGACGTTCGCCGTCATAGCTTGCCAACTCCACGTCCTCCACAAATCGATTTGGAATTGGCCGTTCCGAACCGAAAGAAACTGGAATCGTTACCAGCACGCAGCAGGAGCCCCCGTTTCATTCCAGCAGTGGCAAGACACTCTTCCCTTTCACGGTCCTTGTTTGCCTCTCCTGCCAAACCGACCACGGCCAGAACCCCAGATGGACCCACCGTCCACGACAGCCACGACGAGCCGCTGATGCTTGACATCGCGCGACAAACACTGGGCAAGATGGCTGCCAACCATGGCTTCAGTCTTGACGTCGTTCGGAACGTGTTTGCACGCTCGCGCGATCTAGCGAAGACGGATACGGTTCTATTGAGAATGAGAAGAAAAGCGGAAGAGGTCGGAGAGGCCCAGTTTGGGAACAGCGAGGATGACCTCAGGCTGTGGTCTGAAGAACGTCAGTCGAGGAAGAGCGTAGCCAGGTCCCCGTGGAGAACTGGTGCTCCCGAGGAAGAGTTTCATGCGAGACCGTTCGAGCTGAACGAACACCCATTGGCCGAAACAGAGTACACACCTCCGCACGGAACGCGTGCTGCAGCGCTGATACGTTTAGCGCGGAAAGGACGTCTGAACGAAGGTGTCAAACGCGAACAGCGGCGAGTCAGCGCGGGGAAAACTGATCGCTCTCCGCGTTCTGGATCTCATTTCGCTGCGTTGCCATTCCACGAGCTGGCGTCTGCTGATGCGAATATCTTGACCAAGATGGAACGAGAGGATCTGCGATTGAGTATGTCGACGACGGCAGACGTAGCACGGTATATGAGATCCGGAATTGAGCCCAGCATCGATTAGCATGTCTTTTTGGCCCTACTTATGATTGATTATCTGAACCGTGCACTGCCGCATGCATGCTTGAATGTAAAAATCGCAGAAATCAAACACAAATATAAAACACTAACACACGAAAGGCCTTGGCCTTGCTGATAGTGCCAAAGGCTGGTTATCCCGCCTGCGACAAGCGTGAATGTCTCGAAATCACATCAAGCATAATTTATATGGAAGATACGTAATGATTGCTATGATAGGATGAGAGATAAAAGACCTCTACTTCTTCGTCTTGGCTTTCGGCCCAGGCTTCGGAGCGACTATTTTTGAAGCACCCGCCAGTGCCTTCTTTTTCTTGGGTGCCTTGATGAGCTTGTCCTTGGAGATATCGTCCCCATTATCCTCGTTATCTGAAGGCTCAGCAACATCATCTTCCATCTGAGAAACGGGATTTGACACGAGTGAAACCAGAGCGAATGAAACGGACCTCAAAAGCGTCTTCGATGTCAGGAGCCGGGCCGACCCCAAGCTTCTTGGGTGCTTTACCCAGATCAGTAGCCTTGTAAAATGGAATGGGGTGGTCCGACGCATTGTACCTGTGGGACAGTCGATCACAATCCAGCAAGTTGACGATTTAACCCACTTTCTCGTCAGCGCAGTCTTGGTCGCAGTGGATATCCTCTTGAGTACAGCGTCATCTTTCTTCTCGTCAACACCGAGCTCGACAATCGTATCCCAGTCCTCTTTCGTCAGATAGTACTCGTCCATCCGCTCGATCACTTCTTCGACAGCACTCTATAGCGTGTGAGACATTATATACAATCAGGGACGCATGGTATGGCACTCACAGCTCCGGTATCAACCAACGGCTGAACGATATGTGGGTGCAATGCCGGGATATACGACTGCCGGATTTCGTTCTTGTCCCCAGATACTTTGAGTCGCATCCGGACCTGGACCTCACCGAGTTGCCTGTTCAGCTTCGTCTGCTTGGAATTCTGGCCTAGCCATTGAGGGAAGGACAACCCGTTCTGCCCTCCGTAATGAGCGCCTGTCCCATACATAAAAGATGTTGGACGGATGGTCGAGCAGACCGCATGCAGCGGCATCAGAGCCCAGTGCTGTTCTGGTCTAACAAGGGATGAGAGCAGAAACAGGGATACATAAATCACAGACCCGTGAATCAACGCATCCACGAGGTCGCCATCCGATATTGATGAGGCCGCCCGATCCATCAGCTCAAGACATTTTACCTGCTTCATCGGTCCATCCCAGCTACGCAGTCGCGCAGGCTCTGTTTTCAGGTAGTTTTCCTGGATAAACAATGGCATGAATGAATGATCCTGGAAGTAGTATTCCATCTTGTCCCCCAGACTCTCGCGCGCCGTTGCTGAGAACATGTACGGGCCCAGCATCTTGGAAGTGATGTCGAAAGGACTCATCATCGTGTACTTTTCGTTCATCTTTGTTCTGAGAGAAGTTCCTGGTTGAGTCCAAAGAAACAAAACGGACTACTCACAACGTCTTGCCTTCATCGAAGGACATTGTGTTACTCGACAGTTTCCACGTTGAAAGCATGTTCAAGATCTGACGGATATCCGACTGGGATCCTGCGACCAACTGATCGACGACGTTGGCTGGGATTTGAAGCTTCTCCCTGATATGATTCATCTCTCGCTGCGTTCATGAAAACGCGTCGCTCACTTGAAGGCGATGGTCATAATCCTGGACCGAATCATCGATGCTTGAGGACGTTGAAAGCTCATGTTAAAAGTCGTAGACATGAGCGGTTTGAGCTTCTGCGCTCCTCTGTCATTTGCAATGCAGATAATAGGAATCTAACAGTCATTCATCAGACCGCGTGTGGATCAGCAAGAGATTCCACCGGCCTTGGACTTCTTGATCAACGAGTTGAGGGCACCAACACCGCCTCGGTCCCCAGCAGACATACCATCCACTTCGTCCATGATGAGCACCGTCCTGTCAGTGATCTGCACGTTGTCGCTGTCGCGGGCACCGGCAATATATCCGTCCAATGACTTGTTGTTGATGTTCATCCCATTCTGCGCATGGTCAGTCGCTGGTTTCAGTTGGTGCTTGGAGGTAAAGCTCGAACATACCTCGACGAGTTTCTTGCTTCGCGTATCACTGGCGTTCAGTTCGATGGGGGTGAAACCTTCCAGTTTCGCCACCAGATGTGCACTAGTCGTCTTGCCAATTCCCGGTGGACCGGTGATGAGGATGGCGCGGAATATATTCATGCCATTCTTGCCCGGTTTCCGGAATTCACTCTTCAAGCTGTTTGGCCTAAATGATGAGTCAGAAGCGATTCTCGCAGAATCGTGTTGAAGCACCAATCCTTCAACCATTGCTGCATCTTCTCGATTTGTGCCTTATTCCCACATATCTCCTTCATATTCTGCGGTGCGTATCGAGTAGTCCACAGCTGCGACGAGGGATCTACTGCTCTCGGGCTGGACAAGATCAGCAGATGAAGCGAGAGAACTTCAAGAGTGCCTACCCTTCTTTCTTCTTGACCACCTTTTCGCGCTTCTCCATCTCTTTCGCGCTAGCTTCGATCGCCTGCTTTTCCTTCTCCATCTTGGCTTTCGTCTTATCATCCAACTTTCCTGTCCCTTTCCTCGTCGCGATCAGATTCAAAAACTCGTCCTCCGTCAAAGTCGCCAATCTGTGCTTCTTGATCGCGGCCAGCTTTGAGGGCCCAGCATTATCACCCAACACGACATAGTTTGTCTTACTCGACGGTTGACCCACAACGCGTCTGTTGTAACTGTTGTCAATCCACGCGAAGATGAGGATGCATGTCCACTGACCCGCCATATCGCTTTGCAATATCATTGGCCTCGTCACGCGAGAAGCTGCTCAGCTCCCCGGTAAAGACGAACGCAAGTCCGGCCAGAGCGTCTGGTGACCCGTCCGGTACTGTTTTCGAGCCTGGTGCCGAAGGACCTGCTGATTTCGCAGCTTTGGCGGCAGCCCAGCTTTGAGCTCATTCAGTGACAACTGTGCGTCGCTAATGTAGAATGTACCTGAGACGTACTTGAATTTAGGTTTCCCAGTTTCGACCTCTTTTGTCTTTGATACTGAAGAACTAGCCTTGGGAGTAGCCTTGGATTTGACTGCAGGGCCGTTCTTATGACCGACCCTGTCCTCCTCGTCTGAGACAATGAACTCTTCGTCTTGGACTCTTGATGAGTGGCGTTTGAACTTGCTGCCGCTAGCGACGGGCGCCCTCAGTTTAGGCTTTGATTTCGGAGGCACCTCATCTTCCTCTTCGCTGGACAAGAGCAACGCGCTTGGCTTTCGGGCAGTTGGTCTCGGAACCGGGAAATGCTCCTCGTCGCTTACGGACGTGTCTGCAGCTTCAGGAAGACGAGCCTTCGGCTTGGAGCGCACGGCCGGTACACCCTTCTTCCTAGGTCGCGTTTCTTCATCCTCGCTCGAAAAGAGTGCGGTCGCGTTGGAGCGTTTCTTCGTGACCGGTTCATCGTCACTACTAATATCCATGGGGGTGACTGGCACAGGAGCCTAACAATCTGACATTTAGTACTCGAGAAGAGATGATCTGGCAAAGACTGACAGATTTTCGTGCAGTTAGCGGCTTATCCGGCACAGGGTGCTGAATTAGAAGTGCGTGAGCAGCCCACAAAGTAGAAAGGAATCTTGCGCTTGCCGAGGACTCGAGAGCCGGAACCGGCTCAGTGTTCAGGGCCACCTTTGAGCTAAAGAGAATTAAGCAGGATAAACTCCTACACACGACGCACACTAAACTGACTTTTTCACTGCCTGAGACGGGCTATGATTCTCAAAATCGACAATCTGGGACTCAAAGATGGAGGATGCTCACTGAGCTTCATTATCACCTTGTAAGAATCAGCGGAGGATACATGAATAGGGAAGGAGCGTACTAATCTCAATAACTTCATCATGTCGCGCTCTCTAGCAGGGGCAAAGGTGGGATCATTGTGCAGAGCGATTTGCCAGGGTACCCACCTGGGATCGTGGAGTAGATGATGATTCTTTATTGAAGAAGGAGCGGATGTCCTTGACGGCCGGCTGAGAGCTTTTGGGGGTCTTCTGCGTTGGAGGCATGGTGGATACGCGCCAGGTCACGGATTACACGTACGGTCACATGAACTCGTCCCACGAGTCACATCCCAGAAGCGGCGTTTTCTCGGGATTTCTGTCCTGATTGATAAGATGAATCGATTTCCTGAGAGGTGGTAAGGACGATTCGAGCGTAAGAAACTTAAAGTCGACAATTCCAACGTTTTGCTGGCCCTGGCAATTTACCTGTTTTCATACATGCAGTGCGATCAGCTGAGCAGTCAGGTGCCCCCAGCGAGTACGGATCAGGTACAAGTCGGCACATCGGGCCGAGTGCTTGCAAGTGATCGCACGGTCCGGGAAATCACCAGACCCGTGCGTTCCCAACTTGATAATTGCCACATACCTGCATTGCTGCCATGGCCGCAAAGGGCCAGCAGGCCTCCGCTCCCGTCCTTGCGGTCGTTCCCAACGGACTCGACACTCGGGACGCACTACAGCTCTGGTCTGGTACGTTCACACCTCTCCTGTTGCAAAAAGCTCCATTCACTTTGTTTTCCCCACGTATGCAGTATTTTCAAAATGCAAGGATTCACTACAGAACGGGCGCCGCCTTGAAAACCTTTCATGGCGCTTGGCCTCTCGGCATTCGGTGCAACGACAGGGTGGCAGTGGGTTACTTGCTCCGACCTGGCCACCGACGCCCGAGTCGGTGTGCAGCGATGACTCAAATCGCTCCAAGTCAAGTAATAGCAGCGCCCGTCACTCGAGCGACTCGGATTCTTCGCGCTGGTCGAGGGAGAGCGTTGCTTCGCCTTTTTTCCCCGATCTCAGTGTGTTGCTTTGTCCCTGCCTTGGTTTCATCGTTTGTTAATCGATACTCGAATAGAGCTGGTTGCCCCCGTGCGGACAGCAGGGCAGTTCATACGCGAAATCGTCGTCCCGGAGCTTTCTGAGAAGCTTACGAAGGACGACGAGATGAACGCCAAGAAGGAGCCGAAGAAGCAAGGCTACCCCGCACCCATTACTAGCAGTTTGTCAGGCACTAACTCTACTTTGGCGGCACAAGCTACCGATACAACCGTTGACCATGGCATCACTGTTCCCCGCGTCGTTATCCTCGACGCTACGCCCAATCTCACTCCTCATCCAACACCGCCAGCATCACCGGTCTTGCCCGCTGCGTCACCAATCAGTCTTGAAGCGGCGGTTCCTTCTGACCCAGCTACTTCTTTCGAAAACGCCAAGCTTACAGCCAATGTGGACCCAGCAACTGGACGCAATCCGTCACAAGCAATTTTCTTGTCACGATCCGCCGCGCGTGGCATGGGATCACCCGGAGTCATATCCGCACTGTCTTCGTCATGTTCTGCTACGGGTTCATCCCTACTACCGAAATCTACGCATAACCTGCCGATTGGGGGCCAGGACTGCCAGCCAACCAAGCTCGGCAGGGCCGGCAAATTCCTCTTGGGATTAGAATCGAGTTCAGATTCGAGTAGTGACAGCTCTCAAGAGCGGGGGAAGCAGAAAGGAGACCAGGAACGGCTCGGTGATACTGGTGACGTTGCCCGGGGAAGAGTTCGGTCTAGGGCGGCAAGTGTGGTGGACCGAGATCAACCTCCGTTAATCAAACAGCAAGGGCCATCTAAGCAGCAAGGGCCATCCAAGCAGCCAGTACAGCCTCCGGCGCCCAAACCGCCAGCCGGCCCCCCTCGGATTGTCTCAGCGCCATTCTTGGGTGGTCTTGAGGTCAGTCAAGATCTGATTACCCTACCCTCGCGTTCCTTATCTGGTTCTATGCAGGCATCAACACGCCGGCCGGAACGGGAAGCATCTTCTAGCCGGCATGTGGACGCTGACGATACACGCTCTGAGAGCTCGCTTGCCTCGTCGCAGGTGCATGTTCGGACACGTGGTAAAGGTGCCATGCGTGGCCTGGCTCGGCGGGCAACGGCCTCCAGTTCACGCTCTCGATCACGTGTTGCTCTCAATAAGCTACCTCAGCCGTCAACCAATCTGGCCGCAGCCGAGGCGATGGTCGCAAAACAGGCGTTGGGGTCGGGGCGAAAGATGATCGTACTTGCGACAAGTGATGACGAAGAAGGCGATTGGAGTGATGAGGAGGATAGTGCCGTGAACGAGAGCGTGGTGAACGAAAGTGTGGTGCCGGAAGAGGATGGTGAATGGGAGGATGAAAGCGAGGCTGATCCTCAGATCGAAATTGACCCTGCTCCTGCCCGCCCTACCCATTCCCGAGGTCGCAGTACAGACGACACAGAACCACGGCATTCGGCTACCTCTGGACTGCGTCCGATGCATCGCTCTACGGGGCATCTGCCTACTTTGGTGAACGGACAAAGCCGGCTCAATCATGGACGCGGAGCGCAGACGAAATATCAGCTGACAACAGCAGACCAGAACGCCCGAACGGCCCGAGCATTGAAGGCAACGATGAGCGCAACGACGCTTGCAAGCATTTCTGATGCGCTGATGGAGGAACAACGGAAACACGACCTATTCGCCAAAGCACCCCGGAAGAGTTACGAGAACCTGACACAGCTCAGCCAGCGTCCCGGCGGTTTGAGTGTACTGCTCGCACAGGGTCGCAGCCAGGCAGCGGAATATTGGCAGCAGCAGCAAGAGAAGATCGGGCAGCAGATGCCACCAGCACCGGAGCAGCAGGTTCCCCAAACGCCCAGACATCGACTTGCTGGCGGATTCGGCGGATTAGGGCTAGCGATGACACGTGCGCCATTGCCGCCTATCCCCCCGGCCCCGGCCCCGGCCCAAGAACGAGAAACAATACCACACCCTACTAAAGAAACACCACCCTTGACTCATTCTCGTGCGCCCTCGACCAGCCGGCGACCGGCAGTGACGCGTGCGACGTCGAGCAGCGCTGTCCCCAATTTTGCAGGAACGCCGGTCAGCGGCTCGCTAGGCAAGAGTTCCGTTGCAGGGCCTGTTGTGACGAATGGACGCACAGGAGGATATCGACCAAAAGGGCCACCGGCGGAAGTCGAATTTGATGACGACGAGTCTGATGCGGACGGGCGTGACAAGGGCAAAGGCCGGGCGTCGAATTCAGGCGATGACCTGCCACTCTCCAAGAGTGTTGCGCAGGAGAAGCTGCGTATTTTAGCAGAGCAAACCGCGATTCAGGCCAAAGCTCAAACAACCGACACTGCAGCTGAGCGCAGGAGACTCTACGAAGTGGCTGGTGTCGTTCCTTGGGCGTCTGCTGCCAACAATCACAACGTCAAGCAGGATTTCGTGGCGCAGTCACCTCCGAACCGCTCGATGGCGACTGTGGCCGTCGGATTCCCAGTCGCGCCCTTGCCAACCCCTGTTCCACCATCCACTCCGCGCACGACTCGGCGAACCATGTTGCAGAACGAAATGTCAGCAAGCTTGCGCGCAAATCTTCTCAGACAACGCAAACTCAGTCGGAACGACCTGCTTGGGCCTGTGCCTCGGAGAACGAAAAGCACTGTCCATATCCCCCACGAGAAGAATCTCGTCAAACTCACCGAACGACCGCCCGGAGTCGAACGTCGAGACGAGCTGCCGCTGCTGCCGATGGACCAGATTTTGCACGGTCCACAGGCTCAGAAGAAGCTTGTTCGGAACTACAGCTGGGCTAATACGAGCGAAACTTACCACCGTTCTGGCTGGTAGTCGTCTTGCTAAATATATATTACTCTACTGTACCAACTCATTCACTCGCACGCATGTATCAGTAACACCGGCTGTCCTTGGTTTTCTCTACTGTACATAATTTGGTCAATCCGCATGGTCGTTTTCTGGAGATCGTATTCTTTCTTCGATTCTTGCGGTCAAGTGTGTAGTAAAAGGTTGCTGACCAACCAACGTTTCAGCACGCCAATCACTGCTCACAACCGATTACGTGACATTGGATGACGCATCTGCCCAAGCGATCGCTGCCTGATTTTTTCCTGCATCGGCTCCGTGCTGAGCATTCCTCGGTGACTGCGCCGACGATCTTAATCGATATATAAGCTCCGCCTTCACCTCTAAGCATCCCTCCCTCCTACCTAATACTCTCCCGGACCTTTGGATCGATATGGAATTCGTCCCTGGACCCGCCGTCCACCAAATCCTCTGCGCCGATTGCGGTTTGTAAGATCGGACGCCTTCTCGCACTCTCACTGAATTTGTCGCATGTAGGAACACCCATCACCCCGAACTCTGCCAATCTGTGTGTCGCATGCTTGCGAAATACGTGAGTCGACTCGCATGGAATCAGGTACAAAAATGGCTGATGAAACAGTGTGGATATCACGGAGGGCATTCCCAAGCAAGGTACGTGCCGCTGTCAGAGAATTAGAGACACGATCTGAAGGTTCCATCCCAGCGTCCGTGTCATTCTGCCGCAACTGTGAACGATTCCTGTCCCCGCCGCAAACTTGGACGCCCGCACGACCGGAATCCTCGGAACTGCTCTCGATATGCCTAAGGAAACTTAAAGGTCTGAACAAGGTCCGACTGACAGAGGCCCATTTTATTTGGACGGAGCCCCACTCGAAACGTTTGCGGGTGTCGATGACAATCCAGAAGGAGGTCGGTGATGGAGACCAGCCGGTGCCCTACAGATCCTGATACATTCCCGTTGCAGGTGCTCACAAACACCATTCTCGAGCAGACATTCGAACTCGAATATCTTGTTCAGCACGGACAGTGCCCGGATTGTGCCAAGCTGGCTGCCAAGAACACATGGAAAGCGCTCGTCCAAGTACGACAAAAAGTCCCACACAAACGGACGTTCTTGTTCCTGGAGCAACTCATCCTGAAGCACGGCGCTCAAAAAGACACAATCTCAGTCAAGGAGATGAAGGACGGGCTGGACTTCTTCTACAGCCAGCGCAGTCACGCAATCAAAATGGTCGAATTTCTGAACGGAGTAGTGCCTGTCCGGTGGGTTGAGTCGTTTGCACATGGGTTTTCCTAAACTCACATCTCTCTCCAGCTCTAAATCTTCCGAACAACTGCTGTCTTCTGACACACATACCAACACTGCCAATTACAAATTCACGTATTCGGTCGAAATCGCACCCGTATGCAAAGACGACCTGATCTGCATCCCCCAAAAGCTCGCCCGCCAAATGAGCAACATCACGCAACTCGTTGTCTGCACACGAGTAGGGAATTCCCTGCAGCTGATGGATCCTTCCACGCTGCAAACAGCGGAAGTGCCGACACACGTGTTCTGGCGCACGCCGTTCGACTCTCTCGCCACCGTCTCGGATCTCGTGGAGTTCACGGTGCTGGATATTGAAGCGGATGGACGGACGCGAGGGAAGTTTATGCTTGCAGATGCCCAGGTCGCTTTGGCCGGTGCGTTCAGAGCACATAAAGGGGGATTGGAAGACACCGAGATGGATTACGACGGAACGGGTGGCCGAGCGGAGCAAATATACCACACGCGAACTCACCTCGGAGGGATTCTGCAGCCTGGGGACACTGTTCTCGGATACCATCTGACCAATGCCAACTTCAATTCGGAGGATTACGCGAATCTGCGAGCAGAGCATTTGCCCGACGTCATTCTCGTCAAGAAGACGTATCCGAACAGGAGAAAGAAGAACAAGTCTCGTAACTGGCGCCTGAGGTCGATTGGAAAGGAAGCTGGCGAGGAGGGAGAAACGGGCAGCGGACGAGGCATCGTTGGTCGCATGGGAGGACGAGATCAAAAGAAGGTCAATGAGGACTACGAGATGTTCTTGCGGGAGTTGGAGGAGGATCCAGAGATGCGTTCTGCGGTCAATCTGTACAGGGCTTCTAATCCAGCCCCGAGCTCTGGAGATGTTGCCATGGATGGGTCGAGTGGAAATCGTGGAAAACGGAGAGGAAAGCATGCACAATTCGCCATGGATGTTGATGCGATTGAGGAGACATCAGAGCGTGTCGCCGATGTCGGGGATGAAGATGAGGAAGAAGAAGAGGCCGACTTCCCAGATGTGCAATTGGATGAACTGCTCGAAGGCTTTGACGAGATGACTCTGGGACCAGAGCCGAAGCCGAGGACGAAGTTTAATACCAATTTGTACATGTCATAGAACCATCACATATGTATCCATTACTCTTCGTTCTGAAAAGATGTCAAGACACTCGCTCCTCCCACTTGGAGATTAGTTAAAAATAATGTACTGTCCAATAAGTGCGCGGCATAGATGGCAGAATAGAAGATCTGAATGCTTGGATATGTTACATATTCGCTAGCGAGTCCCTTTCCGTGTTGTCCTCCGCGGCCGTTTTTTCCCGTTCTCCATCGAAGCACCCAACAAATTTGCCAGGCGCTGCTGCTCAGCAAGCTGAGCCGGATCCTCGTACAAAACTTGCAGACTCTGCTCATCTGCGCTTCCCACACTGAGCCCTTCTAATGGCTCATACGTCACTTGACTGCCAGTGAATATCATCTCGTTATTCACAACGGTTTTGTCGACGACCATCACCGGCAAGGCATCCGAGGGCTGGCGCGATTGCGGTTGCCGGGCCGGTCGACCTCGTTTGGCTGCTCGACTACTCGTCGCATCCTCTGGAGTGGCTGGGCGTTTCCCAAGCAGCGAAACCATGCTCTCTTGCAAAACTCGCGCACGTTCTTCCGACATTTTAGGCGGAGATACGCTTGCACCTCTTCGAAGTGGTGAGGGCGAGACCGATGAAGGCACGACTGCATTCGGAGACGAGGATAGCACTCCAGCACGGGGAGCGGCAGTGCTTGTCGTTCGTCTCACGAGTGATCGATTTGAACCACTCTTGGATGACTCCGCCGGTGTAGACTGATGTCGTTTCACCGGACTGGGGGTTCTCGGTGGTTCTATCGACAGACCCCGTGCTTTGCCAAAGGAAAGCGCTGGCCCAAGCCCGACTTCTTCAAATGAGACAGAACGAGATTGAGGCGGCAGTACTCCTTCCTCTTGACTGTCTGTCGGGAAATGAGTCGCGACCCGGTATCGCACGGATGAGCGCACCACAACTTTTAGTGATTTCTTGGATCTCACTCTTCTTCTCCTTGACTGTTTGCTGATCATCTACGAGATAGGCTTGCACTGATGGCACAACGCCTGTCCGCCTCATCTCAAACAGCCAACCCATGTCTACAACCGGTATTTTCCACTGCATAGCATATTGGAACTTGCTTCCTGCCGCCGAAGGACAGAGCAGATGCGTCGATTGCCGTGAGAAAACATTCGCCAGAGTCACGCCTGCCATTGCTATGGGCGAATAGAAGCACACAGATAATCATCGTACCTAAAGCCTTGACAAGTCGCTGGATCCAACATGTCTCCGCAGCGTCCAGTCCCGAAAAGCTGAAAACGATCTTGTCTGCATCTAGAATACTCGGTTCGTAATTCGGGAGATGAGAATTAGCAAATCACATACCTGGGACGGGTGTCTCTATATCCAGTGGCGCAAAACAGGGATTCGAGTCCACGTCACAAAGTGCTTCCTTGAAAAGACAGTGCTCCAGCCAGCAATCTGTTCTGTATCGTTCTTGCAGCCTTTCAGAGGTTTCCGCGCGATAAAGTGCACTTCCGCTATTCATTTTAGCCCGAATACAGATCGTGCAACGGATCGCCACACACCTGACCAACCGAACGACGATGAAATCCGCCGTTTCTGAATCATGAACCAGAGTTCCCCCGGCTTGGTGAACTGCTTCTTGCACCTTATTCGTATCTGTCTCTCCCCGGAGTAGGATTGTCAATCCAGAAAAGACTCCAGGCACATTGTTCTTGGATCCCTCAACAGCCTGGGGCTCCGTGTGATTGACAGGAGTTCTCGAACTCGCCGCACGAGCAAACGGTATCCGACTGGGACCTGCAGTGACACTCTCGGGAGGAACTGATCCAGCTCGGGGAACCACCAGGGAATTCGCTCGTCGGAAACTAGACAGTACACTCTGCCCTCTCCAGCCAATGTCTCTTCGGCCTCTTTCGCTTGCTCGCGGCGTCGCTTCAGAACCAGTTCCCTCGCCTTGCCAGGGCTGAGCATCAAGCCACTCCCGGCAACTTCGTATCCGCGCTTCTTGAGCAAACTGCCCCACACTTGTAGTGTGACAGCAGGCAAGCGCTGGACCTGCACGATTTCATCTTCCTCGCCTTCTTCGTCGTAAGCACTTGAAAGTTCCACAGGGGTCGGCTCGACGTTGACCTCAGAGATCACCGTCGTGACTGTACAAATCAGACAATGTCACTTCGCCTGATATTGCACAGAGCAGAGCGCACCTCGCCGTTCTGGTCTGGGCAGCCGTGCTTGATAGCGAGTCTCGTCGAAACGACCTAAAAAGCTGAGATATTTGCGTCGTCATTGAGAAGCATGCGCACCACCGAACTCGACACAATCCCAGAACCATTCCTCCCATACCAGTTGAATTGGTGGCTTTGCCTCCCCCCGTTCATTAAACTTCTCTGCGTACCGCATCTTCTCTGTTTCGTCCTCGCCCGAGCATAGCAGATGCGTGACACACACAGGTCGTTCTAGATTCTTGACATACGTTCCTCCGTGCTGATTGATTAGCTTGCTAATTTTCGTCCTTCGAACTAGGTCAGTTATGCCAGATATACACAATGTGACTCCGGAGAATATCGGAAGACGATGTATGGCGACACTCTACTCCATACTATGAGGCAAGTTCAGACACGCACAAACATACACACCTCGTCGAGATCGACATCGTCGCCGTGCTGCCAAATACGATGGCTTTCAAGAATCCAGGAAGGCTGTAAGATGGGAATCTTGCGTTCCAACGCACACTGGCAGGAGTGAATGATGTCCTTCGCACTCAGAGTCAATACGCACCTGGTATTTCGGCCCTCCAGGTGCCTCTGCAACGAGATGTGTGACACGGTCCGTGAACGCGCTGACGCTGCTCGCACCGAGCTCAAGCGCAAGTTTAAATAGAGAAGTCTGCTCTCGACGCGTCAGCGGCAGTCAATGAGACGAACGGACAATCGTGACCCGCGCGTACCTTGTCCGCCACGCCCGTGGCACACACTACTACGTGTCTAAATGGCCTTGGACACGAGCCTGATAACATGACGGTGTCATCACTCCCCACAATTGGCTATCCTGGATGAAGCACTCGGAGTTCTCGCGTTCTGGGATGCGTGCTGCACGCGCTACAGCCGAAGGATGGGCGGGACGTAGACGGACATTTGGAACCTGTCGTGAAACCTTGTTGAATGACGGCGGGAAGACGCGTGAATATGCGATAGACCTTTTTGGATTTGTTGGCCCGCCGATTCATGGGTCCTGGCAGTGGGATGGAACAAGGATTGTTGTCTCACGTGAATAACTGCTGATCAGATCAGATGGAGTTATCTGAGAGATACCAACTTGATCAAGATGCCTTTACAGTCGTGACATTGCGTTCGTAGATATACAAGACATTAAATGTATATAATATATGCAGCAAGAAAAAGAGTGTGAGATAGGATACGGGTATCGGAGAGACGTCGTTCAATCATCGTCGCCATCATCAGGTTTACTTTCAGGGACAGCACCGCTAGCCGCTTTCTCGATGGCCTTGCGGACAGGATTTTGGCTGGGAGGAATCGCCCCAGTTCTCTCCAGGCGGTCAAACAACACAAAGAGCTTTTCCATCTCCTGTTCCTTTTCCTCCTGGGTCATCTCGGGCTCTGGTGGTCGAGGAGCTTGTGCTGTGCCTGTGATCGGGTTGATATTATCGGCCGAGGCGGCCTCGACGGCCGAAGCTGCACTGCTCGTTCCGCTCGGTGGAGGTGGCGCAGCCATGATGCCCTTGTTGAACAAGAAGCCAGCAACGTTGCCGTAGCCAAGCAGAGCTGACATGACCGACGCGTCGGAATCGCAGATGGCAAAGAGCATCTCCCCAATCGAATCCTTGACACGGGAGTGATAGACACTGGACATCAGTCGAAGACATCGGCCCAGTGTGTCTGTCCGCGTCTCCAGATTCCCACCCGCCGCACTTCGATCGAGGTCTGTGGGAATGAGCCAATCCCGCGTTCGTGTTCGAGCATTCTCGTCCGCTTGACACAGTCGGGTGATGAGTACGATGAGTGGGGAAAGCCCGTCATCCAGAGAATCCGAGCCGCCTTCCGCCTTAACTTTCTCCCGCACACTGATATCGTCTGCATCGGTCGCATCCGGAAAGTAATGCGACAGCGCGATATCAAGCAAGTCGTGAGCCCGCACTAACGTATCTTGGGGCCTTTGGAAGGGGGAATAGGCGATGGAGATCGTGACAACCGACCGGCCGAAAGTACCGACAAGGCCCGGTCCAAAGTACTGGGCTTGGGAGAGCCGGCGACACCGCTGCCATTGCTTCGCACGGGAGATTGAGTCCGACTGGAGCCGGAGGAGGCATTTCGCCTGGCTTTGACCACAGGAATTGCTTTCGGTGACGACGATCCACTAGAGGCCGGGGTCCCTCCGAACCATTCCGATCGCAAGGCCGGGCTCACCGGAATGGTGATCAGTGTGTGTATGACATGGGTCAACGGGGGCGCTATCGGAGCGGGGAACGTCGGTGGCAGGGCATGGAACACGCGCAATAACGACGGCAAAATGCTTTGCACAGAATCAGGAACAAGCGCATTAGACAAATGGTGATGACATACGGATCTAACTTGGAACTCCAGGCGTCCCCGATGACCTTCAATCCTTCCGTGGGGTCGACCAGCTTAGGATAGTGCATGAGAATGTTAAACGCGAACTTGAGGACGTCGACCATCGCTTCCCGCGCCATCTTCGTCCCAGACAGAAGACTGATTACTAAGAGATCGAGTTTGCCGCTAACAACGTCCACAACAGTATGGCCGTGGCGCTTATCCTCGACCAAGGATACAATAAAGGGTGAGGCGTGTACAGTGGATAAGAAAAGAATGCGAGCCAGGATAAATATCTGGTCGGCGTTGGTCGCTTTCTGGGATCATGTCAGTCTTCCCAGGGAGAAATCCGTGTCCGTGTACGCGCACCTGCAGAAGATTTACACAGATATCTCCCCCATTCACTTCCTTCGACACAAAGGCGATTCGAGCACGTTCTATGAGCAGCATTGCATTGGCGATGC